CTCGGTTAATTCAAGGTCTTAAAAATTCATAAAGCGAAGACAACGATTATATATAAAGTTCCTAAAAAAAAGCAAACTATATTAACAAAGAAGTTGCTAAAGTCCCCTTAACAACTTCTTAATATAGGATCTTGCATCTGAAATTTCTCGTGTAAATAAACCTTTTGACAAATACTTAGGTTGTAATAAAAATAAATTAAAAACTTACCATGTTAGAATTTGATAAATCTTTCAAAAGCCTAAAATAAAAAAAAACAAGCAGAATTGACAGATGTCAAGCAACATAGTAATTAAATGCTATAATAAGCTTAAATAAAGGAATTTCAATACACTAAACAAAGGTATATTTAATGAAAAACTGAAAACTGCCAAAGTAAAACCTATCTTTAAAAAATCTATATTTAAATCAGGAGATACAAGTGAATTATAGATTATTAATTTATAACAGTTTAATACAAATGATTTAATATTACTATTATAAAATAAAGGTAATTAAGAAATATAAAATTTATATAGTTAAATTACCTTTAATTTATAATAATATAATACCTTCAACTTTCTCTTAGAAAAATTGATTCTAAAATAAATGAATACTATAAGTATCTATTGTGCATAATTCTTAAGAGAATTATGCACAAATAGATACTAGTAGATAACAGATACAATATATACTTTTTTAAAAGAAAATAATCTTATTAAATCCAAGTAGTTCGGTTTTCAAACAAAATTAAAAACGAATTTTTAAAACCCAATAATTTTATATGTTATTAAATTATTACACAAATTTTTCAATACATTTTATCTGATATAACTGTTTTATTTTACTAACATTCAGCTGTATGCGTGTGTAAAAAAAAATTCAGCAAGAGGCGGGTCTTGAACCTTAGACAATTGCCCTAATCAACGATCCCTAAGTCAACGCCTTAGAGATCGTTCTTAAATTACTTACGCTCAGAGAGGAAGAGGGGGTCTGCAAATAATGTATAAGATAGGAGGGGGGGGGGCAGGAGGTTTATTAAAGTATGAAGACAGTAAAAAATATCATAAATAGTTGTGTTGGTTGATTAAAAGCGTAGGTACTTTTAGGGAGAAAGAGGTTGCTCAAAAAAGTGTATGGCAAAATGCAGGAAGGAGGAGGGGGGGGAAGGGGGATGGTTGCAAAAAAAGAGTGCGTACTTTATGAACGACCTCTTATCCAAATAAACTAAACGCGCGTATAAGCAAGAAAACAATTAATATACTTATTTAAAAATTCTTTTTTTTTCATATAAAAAATAAACTTCACTAAATTAATTGACTTATTGCAAAAATAATTATTGAGTATTGTATTGTCATCAAGCAAGAGTATGTATGCAAAATTTAAAGAAAATTTATTTGAAGAAAATCTATCAGGATGTGACTCAAAAATTGATTTGATGCAAGATTTGATGTTCACAGACAAACAGACAGAGATGACGAGTTAATAATAGCATTGGGAAAAAATACATCAACTGAGCACGCAATCCTTCGTCTGGTTTAAGAAATAAAACCTCTTTCACAAACGGAGAGGTAAAATTAGGTGTTTTTATAAATCTCTCTAAGGCTTTTGATACAATCGACCGCAAAATATTACTATTGTAGCTTAACATGTATGGCATAAGAGGTAAATCCAAAAGATGGAGAGAAAACTTTTTAGATAAACGTGTGCGATAATTATAAATGGTGACTATAAACTCTCTAATTTAACATAAATAGAGTGTTAACTCAAGTAAACCGAAGTTTTTTTTATTCTATTCTACCATAGACGATATTTCGTCTAAATTTTTTTTCTTGTGAACTTTGGGAGAAAATTTACGTTTTTGCGCTAATGCATTTTACAAATATCGGAACAAATAAGTTTCTGCGGCTTTAAAACGATGGAGTATTGCGTAGTGTTGGGGGTTTTTATTGTTTATTTATAACCTTTTAAAAAGATTTAAACTTCCCAGCAAACATGTAAGCGTTGAATCAACGTTGAAAACCAGTCGCAGCGTAGAAAAAGCGTTACAGTCACAAAAACAACGTGCTTTCAACGTTGAATCAATGTCTGTTTTTGTATACTAAATCGCGGTAAATTGAAACGTTGAATAAGCGTTGAAATTGTAACGTAATTTAGCCTCTCAAAATAAAACGTTTATTCAACGTGGAATCAACTTACGCAAAAAGCCACTTTAAAAACGTTTCCAAGTATATGCATTATCAACGTTAAAAACAAACCGCTTTTTAAACGTTACATTTTCAACGTTGAATAAGCGTATAAATTTAAACGTATCTTATCTTCTCAAAAAAATGCGTTTATTAAACGTTGAAAATAAGTACGCAAATTATCACTGTAAAAACGTCGCAAAGGTAATGGTTTATCAACGTTAGACATTTGCTGCTTTTTCAACGAATTTAAACAATTTGAAAAACAACACTTATTCAACGTTATTTCAACGTTGGTTGAAAATGTGCTAATTAGAAAACGTTGAAAAAGTGTTCC